TATTTAAACTGCCGCAGTCTAAGTAGCGATCGTGTAAGGAATCTTTATTTATACACCTTATTAACTGAAAAAATAAAAATTAAAAATACACTGACTGTGTATCATGATTTCAGTGAAATGATTTTTACTCCGTAGACACCTTAAAACGTATCCTATAAAATCCAGATTGTAAGCGCAAGTGTGATTAAGAATTTCTATAGTACAAGCGACAAGTTAAATGTTAGTCAGTTTTATGTCCGCTAATTGACTTGCATTGCTGCAGCCAGAGTTGCATTATTCAAGGCCGCGGCCAAACTTTTAGTAATCAAACAGCATGGCCTTTGACCAAGTCTTATTCATTATAATTCATTGCAATTTTATGGAAATAATGATCATGCTTTAAATATAAACTTTGATATAGCTTCCAAGCAATCTGTAATTGGACTGGATTTGATAGATCAAATACAACTTTTAGGGATAAATCAGCAAAGAGAAATGAAATGATGAGTAACAAAATATGATAAGCCCTCGGGGGAAGCTTCCTCAGGAGAGATGTTCTTATGATCGGGATGATCACGCCTTTAGACAGTATATACATGTAGCGCACTTAAGATAATAAAATTAAATTTTGAAAGGAATTAACAATATAAATCTTTCAGTTCCATTGAAATCTCATGTTCTTAAATGTCAGTCACAATCCAATAACGACCGTCACATAATACCAAGGCAGGACCCCTGCGGAAAAACGTTGTTCAGTCGCGAAGAAAGACGAACGAGATTACGCCTGTTGAAAGGCCGTGTAAAAGAGAAAGGGGTACTCCTGCGCGGAAAAACGTCATTCAGTCGCGCGTTGTAAAGGCCAGCTTGCACTGTTCCGACGTCATTCCGCGGAGGCTGAAAAATCGGAAAGATTTGTTTTTGTGCTGTGTAAATACCAAATCCATCACTTACAGACGCACGCAATCTCTTTAAGCTACACATTATGCAAAATAATACATGTATCTTGCTAACTCACAAAAACGATTGGATCGGGGACTACTGCCAGACCCATAAATAGATTTGCACAAACACAACCCTCTTTACAAAAAGATATATAGTGTACATATAAACAGTTTGACGTCTACAACAATCCAATATAGTAAAAACCCTGCTGTGAACCGTCTTATCTTACATAGAGGATCTCACCACGTGTCAGCAAACAAAACTAATCAGTTGAAATCACGACACCTAACAAAGATGGCTAGCAAAGAAGGCTATAGCGATGCTAACCCGCTGGGAAACAGGGGCCGTAGAACTCTACGAATACAGTAGTAAATATATACGTAGGGGGCAGAGAAATACAAAATCGAATTAGATGAAACAGCTTCCTCTAAAATCAAAGCTAAAGATTAAATCAAATTCGACGGCATACTGCAAACGCCTTCTTTAAAGCGTATGCCGTTGGGAGTCGTAATCCACACAGCTTCACACCAGCACAAACCTTCACTTACGATTTAAACTCAAGTCACACATCACTGTTTGTTACCAATTTATCCTTCTGCATTCAGAAAAAAAAATCCCAATGTAGGGTCATACATACGATACGAAAGGTTTGGGACGTCTATTCAATTCTACCCTACTGTTCTATTTTTGTGGGCTGTATCACGTCGAACTGATGAAGATCTATTTGCCCCTATGCCAACTTCTGACATGGGTGCATATGCGTTTTGTGGTAATATGATATGACACTGTGTGTATTAGTTATGTTATTTTGATACACACAGGGATGCACGTCGATAGGCCGTGAATTGTATCCAACACCTTTTGCTCCTCGATTGCGCTGGCTGAAGGAATATGTATGGTGTCAATGTCCTTCCAATCTGTTGTGGTCAATTTGAAAGTTATCTAATTAGGGCTTACTTTTAGAGAAATGCGACCATCTAACGGAAAGCGAATAAAAGAATTGCGCTTTTTCGGCGTACATTTCTAAAATAATCAAATTAAGATTACGCACTTCACTTTAAAACATTTTTACTGGGAGAAAACGAATGTAGAAATAATCCAGCAAGTCTGGCGTCAGTCTAGGTAAGAAGCTCAATCTAAGTAACCTTTGAGTTAGACACGATGAGTATGTCTCTTTGATCTTCCTGTCCACTGGCTACACATGTTTAGACTTGATACTGGTATTTTAAGTTCTTTATAATCACATTATATTTTACAGCAAACGCAAGATGTTACAAAACAGAAAGTTATAACAGGAGTTGTCGATGATCTTCATGTTGCCAGGAAACAAGGTTGGTTGTAGTGAAAACGAGGCAGCTGTCTGTCTGTTATTTTTTGCGCTTTTTCGCATCCGCAATTACATTTTTCTGTATGCGCTGTTTTAAGGGGTTCTCATCCCAGGACATTTAGTAGACATTTAATAGACTCTCTCTCTCTCTCTCTCTCTCTCTCTCCTACACACACACACACACTACCTTTTTTCTTCCACACGAACACAATCTCTCTCACACACACACACACACACACACACACACACACACACACACACCCTGTTATAGGCAAATTGGTGCATCTTTTTGGCTAATCCTGCTATAAAATATTTCACCTTTGGCTCCGTATCCCGTTCTATTTCAGGCGTGGGTAAATGGGGCGCACTTGTTGTTTATTACCAAGGCGAGAAAACCACATACAGAGGCGAGAGGTCGGGAGAAAAGATTGCAGAATTCTTAGCAGAGGTAATTCAAATACGACCTATCTCAGTGCAGTAACATATTTGATAGTTAATGACCACTCTTGATTGCCTCTATTCGAACAACGAGCATGTGCAGGCATGTGCACTATAAAGTACTACTTCCATCTGGCACAAAATTGACCCTTTATGTTTGTCTTCCATTTGCCATGAATCGTGTAGTAAAATATATTCAAAACAATCATTTTGTTTAGCCTTGTAATAATTGCGTTTTAAAATTGGCATAAAATTCCTACGTTTTACCAAATGTTAAACAAGGCAGAGTTATTTTGTCTCATTTTTTAGTTTGAAAGTGATCAAGACGGCGACGGTATCGTCGATGCACTGGATTCTGATGCAGACGGCGATGGCGTACCGGACGTCAAGTCGAATGACGCAGTGGACATCGATACAGACGGAGACGGAATCCCAGACTACTTAGACAGCGACGCTGACGGAAACGGAATACCGGATGATCAGGAAAAAGACACAGATGGCGACGGAATTCCAGACTATCTTGATGACGATGATGATGGCGATGGTATACCAGATGCTGAAGATAATGATGCTGACGGCGATGGAATACCGGACGTCCAGGAAAGGGACACGGATGGTGACGGAATTCCGGATTACCGCGATAATGATATCGACGGTGACGGATTACCCGATGGTCTAGAAAAAGATACGGATGGAGACGGCATTCCGGATTATCTAGACGATGACGACGACAATGATGGAATACCGGATTCTGAAGACGACGACTCTAATGGAAACGGCATCCCGGATGAGCTTGAAAGAGATAAGGATGGAGACGGAATACCGGATTACCTAGACAATGACGCAGACGGCAACGGCATACCGGATCATTTGGAGAAAGATTCAGACGGTGATGGGATACCGGACTACCTAGATGATGACGACGACAATGACGGCATTCCGGATGCCGATGATGACGATCGGGATGGAGACGGGATTAAGGACGCAGATGCGTTCCATGTTGTACACTTGTCACGTGAGGCACTCCACAAAATCATCGACGCTGGAAAACTTGCCGTGGTGTACTTCGCTCCAAATCGACAGCTTGTTGCTATAGGTGAAAATATGCTCCAGGTAGGTTTGACCCAGTTTCAACGGTCTATCGGTCTGTCTGTTTGTCCGTTTGTCTGTCTGCCTGTCTGTCTGCCTGTCTGCATGCTGTAAACTTTTTGATCAACTCGTTTCAGTATGAAAGTTTTTTTGTTGTGACTTATTTGAATCGGTTTCTCAATATTCCAAAAGGTAAAACCAGCAAACACCATGTTGTTTTTATCGATAAACCAATTAAAATGAGTTAGAGGCTCTGTCAAATTGAATTGTTGAGAAAAATGCCCTGTTTTGTCACCGACTCTACGGATATTTAACTGTGTCCCCATATATTGTTGACTTCAGGAGCTTCACCCTTTCGTTCACTACGAACTTGTCGCTGGAGTCGTAGATGATATGAAGATCACAAAGGAACAAGGTGGGTCACACTTTTACTGCCGCTTTATGTGACCTACAGTAACATTTTTTCTCATTTCATAACATGATTTTGAAACAAGGAATAGTTTCCTGCTGTCTAAACATTTTAGTATTTTTACGAATGTAATGCATCTTGATATAAACAGGGTGGGCATAATCTAATGAAACCTCTCCTTCGTGTATAACACGAACATGTCATTCCAAGAGCTTTTTGCCAGTTTACTATTATATACGTGTACCTAAGCGGTTATGACTAAGCGGTTATAACAGATTTGGAATGGTATTTCTACCAGATACTAAAACCCAGGGTGTTGAACTGCTAGGAAAAAACAAATAATATTTTTTTTTCTCATTAGGTGTTGGTAAATGGGGCGCCGTTGTTATCTACTACGAAGGCCAGAAGATTGTGTACAGAGGTGAAAGATCAGGGGACAAAATTGCCGAATACTTGAGTGACGTAAGTGTATGTTATTTCAAGGTATAATCTAACACACACAGAATCATGTTACACCATAAATTGTATGTATGATAGTCATCGACATACTTTATGCTTTCATCTATAAGTTTGCACATGTATTAAACCCCTACGGTAAGTAGATATTTTTATGCCATGGTATGCTCACAATATATAAATTTTGTCTACTTTTAAATAAGGTATTATCCTGATTATGAAATTCTACTATGCATTTTCCATATATGTGCTAATGCAGTGGCAAGAATTAAAAGACAAGTGATAAGGACCTGCAAATAAATCCCCACGACTAGTTTAAGTATCATAATGCAGTGCATTTACATGTATGTCGCTTTATGTGTTCAACTTTCAGTGTAAATGCGCTAGTTGTGACATGCACATCCTATAAGAATGTATTTAATTATGTTTACATTACACCCCATCTTCTAAGCCCAATACATATTTTTATTTGTATAATCTCTGACTTCACATATCCTAAAACTAACTTTATTCACACGTGTCTGTAACATTGACAAGTGTGGCAAATTCTTATAGTGGTGGTTATAAAATGCTAAAATGCTTTGAGGTATATAATACAATACAATGCACTCAATGCACAAATACACACTGTATGTTACGTGGCTATTCTCTTTACCATACACTATGAATCATGATTAAGATATCTTTTTCAGCTTTTCGTGGATGAGGACGCAAAGGTTAGTCGCTGTTGAAGCACGTGATCTCCACGTGGCACTCATGTTTCCCCTGAAATATACATGTCCTCAGTGTATTCCTGCCACCCGTCGCACCAGTCAACTGTTATATAGTCTTCCTAATACACAACCAAATATGTATATCCAATTGCACTGTTTGTATGCCATGTTTTCCTGCTCGATGATTTATAACCTGAAGATCATATGTAAATCATTTTAACAGCCGGTTCGTAATCATTCACTCACCTTGCAGAAATCATAGGTCTTTTATCGAGTCATCTTCTAATACATATAATAATATTTCGTTAAGATAAGAGTATCTAACAGTAATTTTTTTATCTCTGTGACATTCAAGTTTGGACTCATTCGTTCTTACCTTTCGTCCCTTAAACATAAACTAAAACAGGACGTACTTCCAGCACTACTGACCTTGTGGATTATTAATATAGTAACTTTTTGTAAATAAAAAAGCAAAACGAACAACTGTATCACAATAACCAAATGTATGTTAATCATATTCCAGTAGATCCTGTAGTCATCTAATCACAACCATGATGTGTGCTGTACTGGACATTCTTAATTCTTATATTTGTCCTTGTCTGTTCACATGTCCTCCAATCGGACATGTATCCTTCTTGTTTATTTATGTGTTTTAAATTGTTCACAGAGTCACAGGAGTGTGTGCACATTTCCCATGTATGTCGATGTATTTCGTCATCAGTATTATAATATGATAACAGGTTTCCTCCAATTCACAATTTGTAAGTTGCAAACAAATTAAATCAAGAAAAAACCATTCCACAACTTCTTGTTGGACCGGGATTGACTTTATTTTGGCTCCCCTAAAGTATGAGAACCGGCAACAAACACTAAACCTTACTCTTGATCTTCTTAAAGGTAAAATCAAACTATATTTGTCTCGGGTTATTCAAATCAACGAAGTGGATACGAAATGCAAAGGTCATTTTAACACAGACATACATGCATTATCTGTTTCAGTTCCACAAAGACGAAGATGGCGACGGTGTCGTTGATGCCTTGGATGAGGACGCTGATGGTGACGGTATTCCGGACGCAGAGGCCAATAAAGATTCCGACGGCGACGGGATACCAGACGTGTTGGACAAAGACGATGACGGTGACGGGATTCCAGACCACCAAGAACAGATTAGAAGACTTGACCGAAAAGCATTAAATGACATTATAAAATCTGGGAAATTGGCTATAGTGTATTTTGCACCAAATGCCAATCTTGTTCCGATGGGAGAAAGTTTATTTGAGGTATATGGAAAGTTGAAAGAGTTAAACGTTCAGTTAGCACTGTTAAAAGTTATTGTCTATAAAAATTTCATCATCTTCTGCAACTTGTATGTATGAACCACATAGCAGAACAATACCTGAATAATGCAATTAATTGTTTAATGCTCTAGTAAAATAGTTTTAATTCACTTTCGACTCCGCCATGCAGGTTTAAACTTCTTCTTCTGACTCTTTGCAAATGGGCCATATCCGCTGCGAGTTTTTCTAAGTCCCAATCTTATGTCTGTTTAGCTTTTGTTTGTTTTGGAACAAAATGGAAGGAAATAACCATGGCCCGTAATACGTGCTTCAAAAAACTTTTCAGGAGACCATTCCACTAGTCAAGCATGAACTTGAAGCAGGCATTGTGAACGATAAAAAAGTGACAAATGAGCAAGGTAAGAGGACGTATCCCAAGTGGCCTTTTTTAACATGAGGTGTATCTAGTAATATAGATGATCTTTTCAAAGAATATGTGCTGTGTGCCCAGTTATAATCATACAAAGTTTAATTTGGATAAGGGCCAGTTAAACTGTCCTTATGAATAGTTCCACTCCCCTTGTTATATCGAAAAAAGGCAACAGCCTGCGTGTGGCGTCATTTAAAATGATAATACTATACAAGTGTTAAGTGACATAGGGAATATAAAAAAGCCAAAATATGTATCTTTGTAAACGAAAAATTACTTTATTAGAAAGAAAATACTTGATCAGATATACAAAGTCAGGGTTTTAGATTTGGACATTTTTGCGACAAAGAGGTTGACAACTCCGTAATGCCCATGCAGTGCGAACAGTTTCCAAGAGAATGTCCTTTTATGCCTTCATCCACTTCTTCTTCTGCAGGAGTGGGGAAATGGGGAGCAATTGTTGTGTATTTTGAAGGAGAGAAAATTGTGTACAGAGGGGAGAGATCCGGAGCAAAGATTGCCGAATATCTGAAAGACGTAAGTGCATTTGTTATTTTCCTGTCAACTTTTGCAGTTTAAACACGAAGAGACATGCAAAATCATATACATCGTTAAATTTCTTTTTTGTTTCTGTTGCAAACCTAGAATACTTCTTTTTGTCTTGACACCACAGACATACAGAACTGCTGTTTTATTCAATATTTTCTTTATTTCGGGATTGATAGTTTTTTGAGGATGAAGACGGAGACGGAATAGTTGACGCTGTAGAGGAGGTTGGTTACAAACCCAGAGTGATTTCTCATATTTTTGTGACACATGAGTGATACACTGAGTGATTTTTCCCTTCATTCCGTTCCAAAGGTACAAATCCCATCATAAATATGAGAAACGTGTTCACAGTCAGCTGTGCGTGTTCCTTTGTTTGCCAACTATCTCCAACAGTTATGCACTTTATGAAACCCCTCGCACACCAGATCAAGTACCCCTCACAAGGTTGACATCTTCATTATGTCCATGCAGTGTGAACAGTTTCCAAGAGAATGTCCTTTTCTACACAGTATAATGCCTTCATCATTATCACCTGTTCAACTACGTCTGGAAGGCACAAATGTCCTCTGACCTTCTCCTTTCTTATGATCTTCGGTGAATATATTGGAAATTTGATAGGTTCTTGCAGTTGTACCTTAACCTTTCAGCTGTACGCAGCGAGTGTATTCCGACTAGGCGAAGGGAGAGGGCAAAGAGGCAGAGAAGTTGGTTGCCCTTTTTATTGTATCCGTCAATTCACAGAGACGTACCAGTAGATAGATATTTGAATATCTTCTCCGCTGTATGTGTTACAACTGATGAACGGTTACACATTGATCATGGTCATGCATTTATTTCAGGAAAAAATGCGACGAAACTGTCATTTAATGGAGTCCTTTGTATTATATTATGTATATTTTATCCTTTTGTATACTTAATTTACGCATTAGAGGCATATTATACCATGTTGACGTTGAATTTGATAGTTCACTTTAAAGCTGCTTTACTTAACTTGTAATAAAATCTTCTGCCGTCGTTTTGATATAAAAAAAGTATATTCCTTTTCCCCTAAATTACCGTACACCGTGTTGTTTATTTTTCAGTTTACGGAGGACGAGGACGGAGATGGCATAGTGGACGCATTGGACGACGATGACGACAATGACGGAATCCCAGACTCCGAAGAAAAAGATTCAGACGACGTAAAGTGATAAAAACCTGGAGTGTCCCCCTTTTCCTTCTTCCTTGCTTTAGTTTTTTCTTACCTCAATGCCTTCTTGGCCAGATTATGTGTATGTCGTTAAACGCCGTTGAGTCAAGTCTTCCATTCGTGCCAAGCTGCCCAACAGTTTTAACATGCTATTCCACTTATTTATGCAACTCAACTCACTGTTTTATATTTGCGGTATGAAAGAACTTTATGCCATATCGTAGCACGCATTTCTTCCATGAAAAGCCTCGCACCACGTGTTTCTACCTTTTGTCGTACAGTGCTTCTTTCAACGAAGACCCCCAACCCCACCTGTGACATGAAGAACCACACATCTCTACCATGTTATCCTGTGTACTGTGCCACGTGGACCTGCGCACGCATCCTACTGCACCAAGACATGTACCCTGTGGAACCTGCTAACGTGTGTCGTGCCGTGACAAATACTCGTTAGATTTTTTCTTTGGAATTGGATAAAAACAAATGTGAAATGAATATTGGCTTTTTGACATGGCACCAAGTGTACAAATCGCTTCTCAATTAACTCACGCAGTGACCGTGGCTTTTTATTTGTGATCACATGGAACATGCAGTGGCGAATCCAAATATATTGAATATTCTTACTGGATGTTGTCTTGTCTTGTTTTCATACACGACATCGGCCATTAATTTTTGCTCGGCGATGTCAACGACCTGCCAATTAGAGATGAATCAACGAAGGGAGAAATGTATCCTACACTTTATTTCGACATGGTTCCAGAAGGTGAACAAGGGAATTTATTAGAACGCCATTCCAGGATTATCTACAAATTATGAGTATATAATGACTGGTAGCATCAACTCTGTTTCTCCGTTTCGCTATTCCTCACTACCTGTATGTTATATGCAACACAACTATACTTCGTTATTTACCTGATTTATTTATCACCATGTATGCTAGATAAATGTGAGTCGTATTGTGCTGATATTCTACATATACTATACTAATTTAAATGACGAATACTTCATTGGAAACAACTGCATGAACTTCCCATTACTATTCTTTCCTCAGCAAAAATTTTGACTTGACTACGCTTTATTGAATAGCATCATTTTTACAAAAACCACAAAAATGGCTTTTGCAACTTAAGCGTTTAATTTTTGATGCCAATGTAAGCTCGTTGCGGTCAATTTTGTGGTTTGAGATAAGCTTTATTTTTGACTTATTGAAAATATNTTATATTTTTGTGACACATGAGTGACACACTGAGTGATTTTTCCTTCATTCTGATCTAAAGGTACAAATTCCATTATAAATATGAGAAACGTGTTCACAGCCAGACGTGAGTGTTCCTTTGTTTGCCAACTATCTCCAACAGTTATGCACTTTATGAAACCCCTCGCACACCAGATCAAGTACCCCTCACAAGGTTGACATCTTCTTTATGTCCATGTAGTGTGAACAGTTTCCAAGAGAATGTCCTTTTCTACACAGTATAATGCCTTCATCATTATCACCTGTGCAACTACGTCTGGAAGGCACAAATGTCCTCTGACCTTCTCTTTTCTTATGATCTTCGGTGAATATATTGGAAATTTTATAGGTTCTTGCAGTTGTACCTTAACCTTTCAGCTGTACGCAGAGAGTGTATTCCGACTAGGCGAAGGGAGAGGGCAAAGAGGCAGAGAAGTTGGTTGCCCTTTTTATTTAATCCGTCAATTCTCAGAGACGTACCAGTAGATAGATATTTGAATATCATCTCCGCTGCATGTGTTACAACTGATGAACGGTTACCCATTGATCATGGTCATGCATTTATTTCAGGAAAAAATGCGACGAAACTGTCGTTTAATGGAGTCCTTTGTATTATATTATGTATATTTTATCCTTTTGTATACTTAATTTACGCATTAGAGGCATATTATACGATGTTGACATTGAATTTGATAGTTCACTTTAAAGTTGCTTTACTTTACTTGTAATAAAATCTTCTGCCGTCGTTTTGATATAAAAAAAGTATATTCCTTTTCCCCTAAATTACCGTACACCGTATTGTTTATTTTTCAGTTTACGGAGGACGAGGACGGAGATGGCATAGTGGACGCATTGGACGACGATGACGACAATGACGGAATCCCAGACTCCGAAGAAAAAGATTCAGACGACGTAAAGTGATAAAAACCTGGAGTGTCCCCCCTTTCCTTTTTCCTTGCTTTAGTTTTTTCTTACCTCAATGCCTTCTTGGCCAGATTATGTGTATGTCGTTAAACGCCGTTGAGTCAAGTCTTCCATTCGTGCCAAGCTGCCCAACAGTTTTAACATGCTATTCCACTTATTTATGCAACTCAACTCACTGTTTTATATTTGCGGTATGAAAGAACTTTATGCCATATCGTAGCACGCATTTCTTCCATGAAAAGCCTCGCACCACGTGTTTCTACCTTTTGTCGTACAGTGCTTCTTTCAACGAAGACCCCCAATCCCACCTGTGACATGAAGAACCACACATCTCTACCATGTTATCCTGTGTACTGTGCCACGTGGACCTGCGCACGCATCCTACTGCACCAAGACATGTACCCTGTGGAACCCGCTAACGTGTGTCGTGCCGTGACAAATACTCGTTAGATTTTTTCTTTGGAATTGGATAAAAACAAATGTGAAATGAATATTGGCTTTTTGACATGGCACCAAGTGTACAAATCGCTTCTCAATTAACTCACGCAGTGACCGTGGCTTTTTATTTGTGATCACATGGAACATGCAGTGGCGAATCCAAATATATTGAATATTCTTACTGGATGTTGTCTTGTCTTGTTTTCATACACGACATCGGCCATTAATTTTTGCTCGGCGATGTCAACGACCTGCCAATTAGAGATGAATCAACGAAGGGAGAAATGTATCCTACACTTTATTTCGACATGGTTCCAGAAGGTGAACAAGGGAATTTATTAGAACGCCATTCCAGGATTATCTACAAATTATGAGTATATAATGACTGGTAGCATCAACTCTGTTTCTCCGTTTCGCTATTCCTCACTACCTGTATGTTATATGCAACACAACTATACTTCGTTATTTACCTGATTTATTTATCACCATGTATGCTAGATAAATGTGAGTCGTATTGTGCTGATATTCTACATATTCTATACTAATTTAAATGACGAATACTTCATTGGAAACAACTGCATGAACTTCCCATTAAAGAATAATTATTTACCTGATTTATTTATCACCATGTATGCTAGATAAATGTGAGTCGTATTGTGCTGATATTCTACATGTTCTATACTAATTTAAATGACGAATACTTCATTGGAAACAACCGCATGAACTTCCCATTACTATTCTTTCCTCAGCAAAAATTTTGACTTGACTACGCTTTATTGAATAGCATCATTTTTACAGAAACCACAAAAATGGCTTTTGCAACTTAAGCGTTTAATTTTTGATGCCAATGTAAGCTCGTTGCGGTCAATTTTGTGGTTTGAGATAAGCTTTATTTTTGACTTATTGAAAATATATGATGGGTACTTTATAAGAAGTAAACATTTTGTAGAATAAATATTTTCCCATTCACGGCCTGATAAAGATGATGTTTAC